GACAGACAGACACAGAGGCGATGGCATAAGCCCGCTTATATAGCTTTTAAGCAAAAGAGCGGGCTAAAAAGGGACCCCTTGGGAATTTCGATTTTTCTACGCTAATCGATGCTCCTTCAGGTCCCACGCATGACCCCGAAGGAATTTTGTCGATATCTCAACTCGCGTGGGGTCAGGTTATGATCAAAATTCCGGCTAGAACTTTAATCCCCCCCCACCCCCACCCCACTTAGAAAAAAAACAAAAAAAAAAAAAAAAAAAAAAAAAAAAATGAATTTCATACATTACAATTAGATCACAGGAGTCATCAATTTGTACTTAGAATATCTACAACGAGCTATTAATCCATTGACAAGAGACTTTTCAAAGAACTGACTGTCACCATAATGACTAGCATCACAAGACAACCAAAGGCACAAACATTAAATTTAACATTTACATGTAACATTTCATATTAACAAAAAGGACCATCACCAACCATAGATCAATTTCTTCATTTCTTAGAATCAGTGTTTTCAGTGACAGTCTCACTAGCTTTCACATCCACAGCGCCATCACTCACACCTGTATTAACAATTTCACCACCATCACCTTTTGTATTCATGGCTACATCACTAACAGGACTTTCATTTCCAGTAGATACTCCACTCCCACTAGCAGAATCAATGTCATTACTGGACGATGAGCGAAATCGTTTACGTAAATCGAAATCAACATTCATCTTGGCTCGCTTGACAGCTGCATTTCTCTCGCTCTCTTCAATGAGTCTGACAGCTTCCAATTTCTTCTTATCTACATCCTCACCATGTTCCAATATGGCCGTTTCATAACAGTTGGATACAGTGCCATAATAAACAAGGTAGATGTACGCCAGACCACGTCTCGCGTAACAGGCTTCGCGATATCTCACGAAACACTGTTACGCTGCGACGCGCCTGGCATACATCTACCTTGGCCTGCGGCGCTGACACCCGAGTCGGGTAGAGCAAAAATGTACTCAAAGATTCGGGCCTCCGGCCCGTCAACCCCGTCACTTAGACTGAGCATGCATGGTTGTACATTTTTACGCTTATTTTCGTCACAAATACCCTCTAGCGTCTAAACGGTAGGAGCTAGAGCAAAACGGACAAAATTTTTGCCCAAAGGGCTCTACTTTGATGAGTTACCCCCGAGAAAACCAGAAAAAAAATATTTTTAAAAACAGTTATTTTTGGGACCTGTGGTTTTTGATTTTTTAAAAATCCAATTTTTGAGCTAGAATGCTCATCTTCGAACTCGATCTGTCTTTTTATGACACAGAACGACCCTGAAAATCCCAGGTCGCTCACTCAATTCGTTCTCGAGTTATCGTGCGGACAGACAGACACACACACAGACAGACAGACAGAAAAAGTTTTTCCCGACCAGACGGAGTAATAGGCTTCGCTAATCGCTCAGCCAATCAGCCAACAATATATTTCTTCTTTCCACGAAATTTTACCTCTGGAGACCAAAATTATTATCCGTGGCGATAAAGTAATTTAGTGTAGCTGACTTGATTTGATTGGGCGACCATATTTAGTTAAAAATAAGGCGACGAAATTCTAGTCGGTTTTAGGATCTAAATTTTGTTTCTTACCAACCTGATTTAGTTGTATCAACTAAATGGTTCTCTAGGTATAGTCCTTCTCCATGTTTCCACCTGACACTCTTCGTTCATTACAAAGAGTGGTCTTCACATTACGGAGAATTAAATGTGTACCGTACAAAGGATCTGAAACCACCAAATTACAAACGGATTTTCTTCGTACTACAAAGAGCACTGGTTGGTGAACAGACCGGAACAGACGCATGCTCTTCGTATTACAAAGCCGAACCCTTCGTAATACGAAGAATTTGTTTGCGTTACAAATTACAAAGGATCCAAATCCTTTGTACGTTACAAAGAGAAGTTCTATGTAAGAAACTTACAGTGTACCCTCCGTTTACGATGGTTTGCTTTATTGCACCTTTGGAGTATCATTGACAAGCGGCCGCGTAGGCTTTCGTGAGCGTGTCTTTCACATCTTCGCATCTTCGTTCCATTTTCACTTCTGGTCCTAGGTTTTAACCGCAGCTAACTTTGCTCTGCGCCTCCAGCGGCAAACTGTCGCTGACCGGGCTGCAGGTGATGCATGTGCGAGAGCTGAAGGTGCAATCTTACTCACTCAACATAGGCAGCATGTGCGCAACGTTCCAAACAATCCTGCCGCACTTCTCGATTCACACCAACTATGACATTGTCGTGGAAAACGCCGCATTTCCGGTACACCGCAAGGGAAAAGCTAAGTAAGTGCCGTAGACAAGTTTACAACGCTGTGAATCAGAGTGTGATACTAACTGCACGTTTTCTGTGGTACAGAAATATTGCACGATGTTGTGATGATCATCGCAGGAAAAGTATAATATTAAATTTATTACATATATTTGTGATTACCATCACTTATTTGAGCGACACTTTGATGTATCATAGTTTTGTGCAATATGCGGCACACCGTTTCGAGATAAATTCAGAATCATCGCATTATTTTACAGTGAGTATCACACAATCTTGTGATGAAAATTCATCACACCCCCAAGAATAATAAATCATGGCAGGAAATTTTATCACACGAAAATGTGTGAAAAGTATCACACTTCGATTACAGTAAAAGCTGCTTTTTATCCCTCTTCCCCAATCCCTTTGCCCCTCACATTCGTACTTCCTCTGGCAGGCTTGAGATGCAGAATGTCAATGTCGACACAGACCTATGCCTCACTCTGTTCCCGTTGACGGTTAAGACGGCCCACATGAAGGTGGTGGTTACCAAAAATAAAGTAAGTACCCCGGGCAACATTACTTTTCACCACTCCTAGCAGTCCACTACTAAAATTGATCGTTTAATGCACACTAACCAGGTAAATGTGGAGAACTTGTTTCCCAACCAAAAACTCAACAAAATTATTAACGTTGCTGCAACGGAAGCTCTGCCGCCTTTGGTCCAAGAACTCCAAAAAGCTATAACGTACTACATAATGCAATATATTGACAAGCAAATTCTAGACATACTACCGTTTGAGAATTTTCCGTAGCATAAATGTATGTTGCCGACATTAGGTTAATCATTTGTCAGCTTAAGGTAAGCGAGGCAGTGTGTAACAGACCTTTGTATTTCGAAAATGGCACGTCCAGAACGAAACGTGAATGTTTATATTATGTCTTCTGACTGAATGACTAAGGTGAATTGTCATCAATAAACCCGTGGTTGAAGAGGTGTAACGGAACGGCGGTGAGAGGGCGGCCAAGCCACGCTAACTAGTAAGCAAGGAGAAGCTGTTTTCTCCCTGTCCCCATTTCTCAATCCTTCCCTTTGTTACTCACATTGAGAAAATTTTTTGAGCCTGAGCACTTAACATTTTGTCCCGAGACCGAAAGTTTCTGACGCACTATATAGTTGTGCCTGGGCACCAAAGTTTTGTTGCCGAGCATTAATTAAAATTTTGTTGCCACGCACAGTAATTTTGGTGGCGGGAACTAATTTTTTTGTGCCAGGAGCAAAGTACGACGCACTAAACAACCGTCTAGTGCTCGGCAGGAAAAATTCTTCTCCGTGCACTGCCCCACTGTCGTTACACACTGTGCAGCGTTGCCGCAGCGGTGCTCAGGGCGACAGTGACTGCCGGCTCTCCCGATAGGTCGAGCCACCGTCGCGCTCCGGGTGAGCCAGAGGCCCTCCCCTAACTTGACGAACCTCGCTCAGTTGCGGACCTCGCTCAGTTGCCAACCTCGCTCAGTCGCCGACCTCGCTCACTTGCAGGGTCTCCCACCTCGCTCAGTTGCCGACCTCGCTCAGTTGCGCGCGTCTCGTTTTATGGTCAGAATACCAATGAAATATTTGTATATTATATATTACGTTTAAGTTATAAAATGTACCTGTGTCGCTGGCTTAATACCGTCAGTTTTAAAGAAATTACAATGTATGCGGTTTTAAAATTAAATTTATTCAGAGTAAAACAAGTAATACTTGAAGGCATTATTCCGACGTTTTTTTTGCAGAGTACGTAAAATAAATTTGAGAGCGGTTCACTTTTGACAATCTCACAACATGTAGCCAAATATACTATGCACAATGTTTGAAAGGCCTTCTATGGTGACATTTAATTAAAGAAGGAATACAGACAGAAAAAATTAATTCAATACTTGTAACACAACTAAGCATCAACACAAAACTATGCGCAATTGACATTGAGCTGTGTGAATTAAACTAGGTAGATGTACGCCAGACCACGTCTCGCGTAACAGGCTTCGCGATATCTCACGAAACACTGTTCCGCTGCGACGCGCCTGGCATACATCTACCTAGGCCTGCGGCGCTGACACCCGAGTCGGTTTATAGGCACGGTCGTAAATAGGCCTTCGGCCTTCGGCCCCAAAAGTCACAAATCCTGCACCCCAAGGATTCATTTTGACGAGTTGACCCATCAGAGACCATGAACTATCTGAGAAAAAACATTGAAATGGTTTGGGGTCATTTCCGTGTGGAAAACTCCCTCTGGCGCCTCAACGGTTAGAGATAGAGCCAAACGGACGAAATTTTCGCCCAACGGGCTCTACTTTGATGAATTACCCCTTAGGAATCAGTAAAAAAATGTTTTTAAAAAACGTCATTTTGGGGACCTGTGGTTTCGGATTTTTTTAAAATCCAATTTTTGAGCTAGAGTGCTCATCTTCGAACTCGATCTGTCTTTTTATACCACAAATCGACCCTGAAAATCCCAGGTCGCTAGCTCAATTCGTTCTCGAGTTATCGTGACGACAGACAAACACACACACAGACAGACAGACAGACGCGAAACTTTTTGATCATCAGTGGAGTAATAGGCTTCGCTAATCGCTCAGCCAATAATTATATTGTGATGCCGGACTGCTAACTTCTCAGAATACTGCGCGACACACTCAAAGACGATAAATAAATTTTGAGAACCCAACAAACCATACTGAAGACATTACAAGACCTGCTTAGGCCTAGCAGGAGCGTCTAGCTGTTAGGAGCACCACTCATATACTGCCTTAAGTTGACTAAAACTGCAAATGTTGAGGACTAATAAAATTAGTTAACATCTTAAAATGAGCAGACAACGCCCACAACGGTCTTTTTAATACAGCTACATGATTTGACCCTCATTTATGCAACACAGTTAAGCACAGTATAGTGCAATATATGTTTGGGTTTTAAGTTCACTTCTTGTTTCCGAAGGAAATAGGAAAAATAAGAAAATAGAACCTAATTCACAAACCGTTGCCGTTGCCTCTCGATATCGAGAAATTCGACGACTCGCCCCCTCACAGCTATCCCCACTCTCTGCACATCATTGTCGACCTGCACCAGCAGCTCCTCGTCTGCTTCTTCTTCAGCCTCCAGCAGCATGGCCTCAGCTTCGTTGGGTACCCAGGGAATTCCATCCTCCTCCCCCTCCTCGACAAGGACGTCATCATCTGGAAGTCCACCCTGAATAGTTTAAGAAGAGGAAGTTGTGAGTGAGACGCATATACTCTCTATTTTACAAAATCGCCTGTTACCGGCTTTTACCAGTTGGGCCATGGTGTGGAGGACGCAGCATGCTTTTACAATCTTTGCTGCTTTAGATGGATGGTAATTTAGAACACGCTCTTTTAGGAGGCATCTGAAGCGAGCTTTTAGTACACCATAGCATATTTCGATACAATTTCTGGCTTTACAATGGAGGCTCGTATAGTGTTCCTCCGGTGAGTTAGGGAGTGTATTCAAGATCAGGGTGAGCAGCACCCAAGGCTCCCTAGGACATGCCGAATCCCCTGTAAAGAATAGAATAATGAATAGTTTGCTGTTTGTGGTTGTATGTGTCAGGGGAAGAAAATGGTAAAAACAAAACTTACCCAGAAGCCAGCTGTTTTGGTCCTCATTATATGCCTCTTCTCGCATCCTCCGACGCAAGCCTTAATTTGACCAAATGAATGCGTCGTGATTCGCCCCAGGGAAACTTGCGTTTACTGAAAGAATCCTGAGGTCAGCGTCGCTAGCCTAGCAATGAAGAACAAAGGAATCGAGATGAGACAAATACTAGCAATGCTATGTCTAGTAAACGATGGGCGCACTAGCAGCTTGACTTGCCATTTGGCAGTTCAATGCGTAGTGGGCGCTATCCACGCCAACTCGACAATTAACAAGCTGGGCCCGCTCTTCCGCCAAACCAAGTTGCCAGCTCCGCTTCGCTCCACCGGCAACTCGGTTCGGCAGGGAGCGGGCCCAGCTTGGCCTGCCGGCGGCGTTTGGGACGGGCCTTCGGCCCGATGTTAGCTTATGAATCCAATAACACACCTATGAAAATGTACATAAGACTAGACCTAGAAGTTAAATATACTTCCAGGCATACTCTGAATGACACCGAACGTGTTCAAACAACAAAAAACTAAATGTGT